CAAGACTTGAAGAGATTTCTTTGGAGAGAGTTATTGCTGTGCTCTGAGACCCCCAACTTCCCTGTACAGTGAGGGTGGGACATGCTCACTTCTAACCCCAAGCTTGAGCCCATTAGAACTTTGAAAAATGCTTTCCTGGGGGAAGACACAGCATTAGTGCTGACTTACAGTAGAGTGTGGACTCCTACCTGGAAACCTAGGGGGCCAAAGAACAATGTCTGGCTTTGGGTAGTGCCCAAGTGAGTGGGCCCCCATACCCTAATTTTGTAGGGCACAGGGATGTGTGAGCATGTCCTGTGGACCAGATGGAGGGAATGCTTTCTTGGGAAAGAAAGAAAGATGTGAGATTATTGTGGTTTAAAATATGTTCACAATAAAAATATATGTTCCCAATTAATATTTCTCCCTTAAAGATGATGTATGTCTTCCCTCTAAGTGTGGGCTAGACTTAGTGACTGGATCCTAATGAGTAAAAGTATAGGCAAGGCTGGTGGCTTATATCTGTAATCCTAGCACCATGGAAGGCTGAGGTGGGGGGATCATTTGAGGCCAAGAGTTTGAGACCAGCCTGAGCAACATAGTGCAATCCTGTCCTTTTTGTTAATGGCAAGTAACAGACCAACTTAAAAAAGGAATATGCTGTAAGGATACACAGATGGCTATAATAATAAGCATTCAGTATTTTAAAAATAAAATGAATGTATTTATTCAGGGATAGACACCTAATGTGAGCTCAAGCCAGTTTGTGTGTTTTCCCTGACAAGAGTGATTGTTTGGGTTAGAAAAAAAAGATAGGATTTAAGTTAGCTCCATTGGAGTGAAGTCGGGCCCTTGCTCATGGAGGTGGATGTCAGGGAGAAACTCTGTTTCTCTGGTCAGTCTACGTGGCTGTGAGGTCTGGAGCTACAGCAGCTACATTGATACCTTGAACAAAGCCCAATTTGGGATAATGCTGACACCTGAGAGAGGTCAACTGCTGAAAGAAAGGCAGAGAAACAGAGTCAGAGCCCTTACTAAACCAGTCCTGAAGCCCCTACCACCTCTAAATCAAGGGTGTCTAACTTTCTTTTTTCTCTGCTGTGCACAAGAAGAATAAGAGTTGTCTTGGGTCACACATTAAATAAACAAACACTAACACAAGCTGATTTGCCAAAAAAAGTCCTTCCATGCATACTTTTTGTGGCATCCTATCCCACAGACAAGTCAAAAAAAAAAAAAAATCAGCATGTGGTCTGTGGGTAGAGGTCGGACACCCTTGCTCTAAACTTTTCAGGTACAACGGTGGTTTTTAGTGGGAGGATGGGAGTGAGGCAGGGTGGCAATTTTGCTCCTGAATGAAGATACAGCAATATCTGGAGACATTTTTGGTTGTGACCACTGGGTGAGTGCTATTGGCGTCTAGCGGGTAGAGGCCAAGGATGCTTCTAAGCACCCTACAATATTCAGGAGAGAACTCTCCCCTCTGTAACAAAGAATTATCTGATCCAAATGTCTATATTGCTGAGGTTGAGAAACTCTGGCCTAGAGATCTAATTGGATTCAAGTTCTTCTGGCAAGGATACCTTGTAGGTGGTACTGTGTCCTTCCTGTTACATCAACAGGCTTCGTTCTCTTGGCTCTTCTGGAGTTTTGTACCCACAGTGGCTCCCTTTCCAATGCTTGTCCCTCGCTCATTGCCTGGGGAACCCCACCCCACTCTCTCCCACAAACCCAGGGGTGGTTTTCTCCTTGTCTCCCCTCCACACCCTGTACTCTTCTTTCTGTGGCATTTGGCTGGACATTTGGGGGCTCATTGGTATGTGGCCCCCACTGGCCTGGAAGTACAGTGAAGGCAGGGACTCAGTCTGTTTTCTTTCATGCATCTGGGATACTGGGACAAGACTGGTATGTACTCAATATGTAAATGAATCTATGACACATGAATGACCCACACCTTAGATATCTGAGCTAGCCAGAGGCAACGTCTCTTTTTCTGTGGGTGGGAAAATATGTAGTTGGATTTTCACAATTCCATTCCTTTTCATCCTTCCCCAGTAAAATGGTGTAGCAAAACTGTCCATTATTCTTACAATGGAATATGATTCAGCCTTAAAAAAGGAAATTCTGTGGCGTGCTACAACATAGATGAACCTAGAGAACTTTGTGCTAAGGGCGATAAGCCAGTCACAGCAACACAGACACTGCACGATTCCACCGATTCCACTTATATATGGTGTGTAAAGTAGCCGAATTTGAGACACAGAAAGTAGAATGGTAGTTGCCAGGGGCTGTGAGAAGGAGGAAAGGGGGAGATGTTTTCAAGGGATGTCAAGTTCCAGTTTTTCAAGTTGAAAAAGTCATGGAGCTGTGTTGCACAGCAATGTACTCATGGTTAATACTGATTCCTGCACTGGAAAATGGGTAAGATTGTAATTTTTTTTTTGAGACAGAGACTCACTCCGTCATCCTGGGTAGAATGCTGTGGCATCATACCTCCCAGCAACCTTCAACTCCTAGGCTCAAGTGATCCTCCTCCCTCAGCCTCCCAAGTAGCTGGGACTACAGGTGCCTGCCACCTTGCTTGGTTAATTTTCCTACTTTTAGTATAGATAGGGGTCTCACTCTTGTTGAGGCTGGCCTCAAACTCCTGAGCTCAAGCCTTGGCCTCTCAGAGTGCTAGGATTACAGGGTTTTTTTAAAAATTTAAACCATAAGTTTAAAATTAATTAGTTAATTAATTAGTGAGAATTAAAATAAAAAGCCGTTCATGTGAGTTATGCCTTAAGAGATGTGATTGGATTTAGGAGCCAGGGTTCTGGTGGCTTCTCTCATCATTTTGTGCTGATTTATGAGATTTTACCTGCTCTTTTCAGAGGTGATCTTGTCATCAAATTGTGGGACACCCCACTGATTCTCCACGCTGCCTACTCCTCTGGCCAGCCCTGGCATGGGTGTGCTCTGTCTCCCAGCCACGCTGCCATGGGAGGAAGGGTAGATGTCCAGATCCAGGATCTACTGCTCTGGTCTCAGGCAGCAGACAGGCGCTGAAACACTGTGGTGGGCTTTCCCCTCTCTTCAGCAGAGCTTTTTAATTACCAGACACCCTGAGGCGTGTTCTTGCCCCTTCACACAGGAGGGTGTAGCTCAGTACCTTGTGGTCTGAGCCACAGTAACCAGGCTCGCCCCAGCTCTGTGAGGGGCCTTCACACCTGGCTTGTCCTCCTCGGCCTCCCCCTCCGCTCCCCTCTGAGTCTGCCTTTCACCTGGGCCTGCCAACCAGTTAACACCTCTGCTGACAGAAGGAGACAGAAGGGGCCGCCCTCCTCCTCTCATCTCAGGCATCCAGGGAGAACAAAGGAAGGCCTGGTGCCCTTCCTCCCTGCCTCCCTCCCTTCCTCTCTGTCTCCCCCCTTTTCTTCCACTGCGGGAGTCTCCCTTTTCTGAGAAACCAGCCTCACAGCTGGCTGTAAAACATCCAGAAATAACCAGGAAGAATAACTCATCTCCTGCTCCCCTCCTATCTGCTCCCTGCTTCCTGCGAGGACCCTGAGTTGGATATAGATTTATTTTAAGCAATCTTTATTGTCACATCCCCGTGCTTTCCCCCAACCTTAATTCCATGTTACTTTCATAATGAAGGTTATGAAAATGCGATGAGAGGCTTGGGGGGAAAAAAGTCTTAAAAATCATGGGATTAGGATGTGTTCATTGTAAAAATAAGTAGAAAATAGAGAGAAGGGAAAGGGAGAAAAAGAAGAACCAATCATGGTAACGAGCCACCTAGAGATATTCTGAGCGCAGTGGGTTTGCCAGAAAGCAGATCCCGAGAAAAAGCTGGAGCGAGGGGCAGGGACCTGAGGCAGGGCAGGGACCTGAGGCAGGGCAGGGACCTGAGGCAGGGCAGGAGACCCTCAAAAGAAGAGTGTATTGATTTGACCATAGCTGCAGGCAACTGGTTGACCCCCTCAGGAGCCCGGTGTCATGTGAAATTCTCTTCACTAGAAGAGAGGGGAGGGCACTTCCCCACTCCCCTGGCTTTCACTTACCCACCCACTGTGGTTGGGACTGGGGGTGGACACTGCCTCTGAATAATTTTTTTGTAGAGACAGAGTCTTGCTGTGTTGCTGGGGCTGGTCACGAACCCCTGGGCTCAAGTGACTCCTGAGCTTGGCCTCCCAAAGTGCTGTGCTTACAGGAGCACATGCTCAGCCTCTATTCCTTGTAATAAATTCTTTGTCTCAGTTCACCAAGTAAGGGTTCACTGCTTTTCACCCCAAGCCCTGACCGATAGATACACTTTGGGGTTTCTGAGGAGACACAGTAAATTTCACCCTACTTCCCCACTCGGGTCCAAAACAGAGAAATCTGGCCCAGAATACAAATAGAGGCCAGGGAACCTTCTCTATTACTGAAAAAAGGAAACTTGCAGGTGTAATTTAGCGTGCGAGCCACGTGGAGCTACAGACTGACATCCAGAATTAGACAGCCACGGCCCACCAGGCCTGGGGCCTCTGGACCTGGAGGAGCAATGGGGACCATGTGCTCCCTACAGCCAGGTCACTCTCAGGAGTGAGGAGGGAAGAGCGTGCCCAGGAAGCCTTGTTTATTCTTCCCAGATCTGGCAGTCAGATAAGTCATTCCTCCTCCTTGAGATGAAGAATATGGAGCAGGAGCGTCTTCTCTGCCTGCAGGATGCAGCGTGTCTGGTTCATTCTCTCTGCATCTATCATCTATCTCTCGAACCTATCTTACGTGTCTGTCTCACAAAAATGGGATCATTCTGTATATCCTGCTGGTGACTCCTTTTCTTCTCTAAGAACACATCCTGAATAGTTCTCTATCTCATGTTCCAGACACCACACTTGTCTAAGTAGTTACAGGTATTCCATTGCTCAGCTTATCATAATGTATTAAATAATTCCCTAGTTTTGAATATTTAGGTATTTTCTAATTTTTCGCTATTATAAATGCTGTTTATGTCTTTGCCCCATTCATTCCTGGAATAGTCTTTTTCCCTTCCATGTCAGATAGGTAATGTGCCAGCATCATAACAAGATTTGAGGGAGACATACGTCACACATGAGCACGAAAGCCCAGTCCTCACATTTGTGACCTGAAAAGAGGATCAGAATATAGAATTGAGAGGATTGGTGCTAGAAGTAATTGCTTAGTCAAAGGGAATTATTAAAACCTTAAAAATTTGACTCAAATTTGGAATTGTATTTTCCAAATTTCTTTGCAGAGGCATCGTGTTGAATTATATTTTAATCAATGGTATGGGAGAACATTTCTACTTATTATAAAAGTCTTATCTGATTGAAAAAATACTGTTTTAATTTGTGTTTCTTTTCTTTTCTTTTTTTATTTTTTTGAGACAGAGCCTCAAGCTGTCCCCCTGGGTAGAGTGCCGTGGCATTACAGCTCACAGCAACCTCCAACTCCTGGGCTCAAGTGAGTCTCCTGCCTCTGCCTCCCAAGTAGCTGGGACCACAGGCGCCTGCCACAACACCTGGATTTTTTTTTTTTTTTTGGTTGCAGCCATCATTGTTGTTTGGTGGCCTGGACTGGATTCGACCCCGCCACCTTAGGTGTATGTGGCTGGGGCCTTAGCCGCTTGAGCCACAGGCGCCGCACCTTAATTTGTGTTTCTTGATTAATAAAGTTGGATGTTATTTATAAATTCATACACTTCCCCTTCATTTTCCTCCTTTTGTCTCATTTGCTTACTTTTCTGGTGGTTTGCCTTTTCCTTATTATGTGAAGATTTAATGACATAAACCTATTTCTTGTCAAATGTTGCAATGATTTCTCTCATTTGTGGATTATATTTTAATATTTAATATCTTTGACCAGAAAATGAAAAGAATTTTTATCTGATCATGCCTATCAATTTTATCCTTTGTGGTTCTGATCTTTGATATTGTGTCTGTAGGGTCTTTAGTTTTCTTAAAGAGGATATCAGGTCTCTGGAAAGGTCTGAAGATGGGGTAACAGACTGTCTCTAAATACTCTGTAGCTTTGCTTACTAAATAACTTCTCTTTCAGAGCTTTCACAAGCATTTTTGTCTTCATTTGGCTGTGTAAAAGAACCTCTGAAATCCTTAAGCTAGCAATGATTACTATTTACATAGTTCTCCCTTCTCTATATCCCTGATTTAAAGTTGATCATCCACTTAGGAGGTGATAAGGAGTTTAAATGTTAGTTCTCCAATGAGGTCTTAACTAAAGTATCCTGTGCTATAAAGTATAAATTCATTTGTTCAACTACGTAAAACAGTAGATTCCATGATTGCTGCTCAGGGGAGAATTACGTGGTCAGCTCCCAGGCCTGAAAGTGCGAGGTCTGTCTTGAAGTTATTTTCTCCTTTTCCCACCAATTACCAGCACTAAGCACACAGAGATCAATGGGAAACCAGGCAGTGGAAAGAGGGCAGTGGACACTCTGCAGAGGTCGATGGTTTTACAGAACTGTCCCTGTGAACTCCACTGACCCTGGAAATTAGTTAGTGCACTGTCACTAGAGCCTCCAAACTGGGTCCTATGAAATGTCCTTGGGATTTTGTCAGCTGTCCTTTACTCTCTATTATGTCTACAGATTTCAGGAATGGTTATGTATCTGGAATATCCCTATTAGTGTCTCTGCCCTCCTCGTTAAGCCCGAGAAGACATTAGACGTTGTTCTGATCTGGTGTACTTGAATCTCAAAGTTTCCTAAAGGCAGAGGGTAGATTCCAAAAGACATGTGCATGTACTTTTAATTTCTTTTTTCTTTTTGGGGGGGGTGGGGGCATCCAAATAGGCAACTTAGAACTTATTGTGGATGGTCCACTTTTATATGCAGCTTCCTGCAAGCTTCCTTAGAGGAAGTCCACATCTATGTTATACTGATTTTTTTTTTTTTTTTGAAACAGAGCCTTAAGCTGTCCCCCTGGGTAGAGTGCTGTGACATCACAGCTCACAGCAACCTCCAAGTCATGGGCTCAAGCGAGTCTCCTGCCTCTGCCTCCCAAGTAGCTGGGACCATAGGCGCCCACCACAACACCCGACTATTTTTTGGTTGCAGCCGTCATTGTTGTTTGGCGGGCCTGGGCTGGATTTGAACCTGCCATCTTAGGTGTATGTGGCTGGTGCCTTAGCCACTTGAGCCACAGGCACCGAGTCTGTTATACTGATTTTTAAGGGAATCATGCTTTTCCCAGGTTTTGATATAATGCACTTTGCTTTTTGCATAAAAAACCCTTCTTCAGAACAGCCACTCCCAAGCTTGGCTTAGAAAAATCTGATCTTTTCTTTTAGCTGCTTAATAAAAAGCACAGCTTCACTGGTAAGTGAATTAGAGAAACAGACATTAAGGACTAGTAGGGGGTCTTTAAGAGTATCTTGGGGCTCAGTGCCTGTAGCTCTAGCAGCTAAGGCACCAGCCACATACACTAGAGATGGAGGTTCGAATCTAGCCCAGGCCTGCCAAACAACAATGACAACTTTAACCAAAAAAAAAAAAAAAAAAATAGCTGGGCGTTGTGGTGGGTGCCTATAGTCCCAGCTACTTGGGAGGCTGAGGCAAGAGAATTGCTTAAGCCCAAGAGTCTGAGGTTGCTGTCAGCTGTGACACCACAGCACTCTACCCAGGGTGATAGCTCGAGACTTTGTCTCCAAAAAAAAAAAAAAAAAAAGTATCTTGGGCAGCCTAGGGAGGAAAGGGTGGGGTGAACAATGACAAGAGCTACGAGGCTTGAAGTTCAAGCAGAGACTAAAGTAGGAGTTGGGGTTTGGGAAACTGAGATGTGTAGTCTGTTATGGTCAGCATGCATGTATGTGCGTGTGTGTTTCTTCTGGTTGAGTGTTAAAGTGGTGAATATTCAGTGTATTACGCTTCTGTAACAAATGGCTGTACAAAAGTGGTTTGTAACAACACACACTTATTCTCCTACAGTTCCGGAGGTCAAAAGTTTTAGACTTAGCTGGGCACTATTGCTCAGTAGTTAGAGTACCAGCCCCACACACCAGGGGTGGTTGGTTCATACCTTGCCTGGGCCTGATTAGCAAAAGAAAAGTTCTAAACTCAAGATGTCAGCAAGGCTGTATCCTTCTGCAGGCTCTAGGGGAGACTCTGCTCCCAGCATTTTCCAGCTTTTAGAGCAGTGGTTTTCAACCTTCCTAATGCCGCGGCCCTTTTGATAATAGTTCCTATGGGTCACGACTCAGGCTGAGAACCACTGTTTTAGAGGCTGCCTGTTTTTCTTGGTATGTAGCCCTTTCAAAGAGCCAGTAGAGTCGCACCTTCAAATCCCTCTCCGACTCTCTGGCCTTGTCTTCTGTCCTTGCCTCTTCTCTGACTCTAGTCCTCCTGCTTCTCTTATCATCTTGTACTTTACACTGGGCTCACCAGGATAATCCAGGCTCATCTCTTCATCTCAGGAGTCTTAATCATACCTGCAAAGTCTCTTTTTCTTTCTTTCTTTCTTTTTTTTTTTTTTATAGAGATGGGGTCTCACTCTTGCTCAGGCTGGTCTCGAATTCCTGAGCTCAACGGATTTACCTACTTCAGCTTTCCAGAGTGCTAGGAATACAGGCGTGAGCCACCAGGCCCAGCTGCAAAGTCCTTTTTTCTTGTTTATTTTTGGCCGGGGCTGGGTTTGAACCCACCACCTCTGGCACATGGGGCTGGCGCCTTACTCCTTTGAGCCACAGACGCTGCCCAAAAGTCCTTTTCTCAATGTAAGTTTACATAATCACAGGTATTGTGGATTGGATGTGAACATTTTGGAGGGCCATTATTCCGTCTTCAAAATTCAGTACAATAGATCTGCTCCACCTTTAGCTTTTCTGCAAAGATCCCAGGGAGAAATGAGGATGATGATGATAATGTTTATAATACCTTACATTAGATGGTGATATACCATTTATAAACACTTATGATTTATTTCATGTCCACTAAAGTGTGGCTGAATGAACCTGGGGACTTTGACTCAAGAGCCCAGATTTCATCACTTATTACCTGTATGACCTTTGGGCAATTTACTTCACCTCTTTAGGGTCAATATTCCCATGTATAAATTGGGAGAGTGTTGTGATCAGTGGGGAGAATTTGCTAGAGTATGAAGAAACTGAGAATGTCAGAGTGTTTTGTGTGAGAATTTCTTTTTTTTTTTTTTTTTTTTTTTGAGACAGAGCCTCAAGCTGTCCCCCTGGGTAGAGTGCCATGGCATCACAGCTCACAGCAACCTCCAACTCCTGGGCTCAAGCGAGTCTCCTGCCTCCGCCTCCCAAGTAGCTGGGACCACAGGCGCCCACCACAACGCCTGGCTATTTTTTGGTTGCAGCTGTCATTGTTGTTTTGGTGGGTCTGGGCTGGGGATTTGAACCCGCCACCCTAGGTATACGTGGCTGGTGCCTTAGCCGGTTGAGTTATAGGCGCTGAGCCTTGTGTGAGAATTTCTTTTGGAGAAGTGTTTCCTATCTCTTTGCAGCCTGAGATGCATTTATAAACATGTTTAGAAATTGTTTTATTTTTCACTCTCCATTTGTGTTAGTTTTGACCTTCTGAAAAGATTAGACCAGGTGTACGATTTACCAGGGAAAATATTCACGTGGGAAATAGGGAGAGAGTAGAAGAGACTAGAGCTGTGAGACTGCACTGTAGCTCTGATGCCTATGGAACAGGAGCTGGGTCTTGCTGGAAGAGGTACTGGGTGGGATAGGTTGGAATCATATTGCCGAGGACCTTGAATAGGGAGCACCAGAGGGTTATTGGCAGAGGAGTAACTCAGTCTGCTGCCTTTCAGGGATGTTGTTCTAGGATAGAATAGGGTGGATTAGAATGGGTGAGCACACAGCCAGGGGCACTAATGATGGCCTGCTGCAACATTCCTTAGGTGGGTAGATTTGGGGCTCTGGACCAGGTTAGGGGCAGTGAGAGTACAAATGAAAGAACAGACATGTGCAATTATTCATCCCAAAAGGACTAAATTTCTTTCCTCTTCCCTGCCAAACACAACCACTGGAATATGCTAAATCAGTTTTGATGGTTGAGCGGCCAGGAGATGTTGACCATGTTGTGTAATGACTACTGTGAAGAATGGTGCTCACTTTGCATATATTGACTCATGCCAATGTGGGCCAATCT